ATTCAATTCGACCGTCTTCTTGCCGCTGAGAAGAGCATAGAATGAACGAATAAACGAACGAACGTTGTACTGTGTTATGTTAAAGAACACAACAACTGTATCGATAAGTCTTTGCTTTCAAATTTCCTTACGATTATCCTTTTCATATGAGAAACTAACCATGTGATTAGATTATTTGTAGACATGTATCCGTGTACTTGAAAATAAATATTTATATATGCGTTGATCGATGTCAACGTTTCTAATCTTAATTATTAATTTCATTACTTTTTTTTCGATACCTGGTAGTTGAAAAAAACCAAAACATCAGACGAAGAAGTATGGTTAATAAAAAGGCGATTAGAAATGCATTCGATATTATTTGAAAGTCGTAGTCCGTTAAGTATTTTCTATATCTAAATTAATACGATCTTTTTTTATATAAAAGGTAGCCGCTTGATAGGGGATATTCAAATGAGCTCTCACCGCACTTTATGCCATTATGTTTTTAAGCCATATCTAATTTCGAATCGCAATTATAGTGTTTTATTACTTTAATAGGTATATCTAATATTATGCGTAAAAGCCCTGTGCTATGCTTCCGTATGGATACACGGGTTGTACGCACGCTTCGGGTAAAAATATAATAAATCCGTTCGTCTACCTACACCTACACACCAACGTATACACACATTTATATGTATACATACATATATGATACTATCGTTGTTCGTGTCCCTATACTACATGGTATCTGCCAACGCCTAATTTAATGTAATAACATTTGATACTCGTTTAACGCTCGACGAGCGCTTTTAGAAATTTTCTATCGAAATATCGGTTAGGATGAACGCGTATCATCGAACAATCAATCAGTTTTATCTAGCATCGCTTTAAAATTTTTTAATTCTTCAAAATAAATCATTTATCTCGTCAATATCGTTCCTTTCATTTCAAGACTTCAACCTACATGCATGAATATTTTTTTGGTTATGCAGAAATACATCATATTCTAATGCTCCTAATCTTCGAATAAAAACATTATGCATTAAAGTTAGATTAAATCTGACATTAATACTTCTAATGGTTTTAAAAATTGTAATATAGATCATATGCCATAAGCATCGAATAGGAACGACGATCCTGACCTTAGACTTCTATTAGCTCAATTTCCTTCAAATGTTAATCGCTTCTACGACCTTTCCTACGATTCCTTCACTTCGATCTCGAATGAAAATGAATGAAAGAGAGAGAGAGAGAGAGAGAGAGAGAGGGAAAGAGAGGGAGAGAAAGGGATAGAAATAACAAGAAACTCGAGTTCTCCGTTCTTCCCCGAACCCCCTCGTGAATCATTCAAATTGGATTCCTTGAGAGCTACCTCGACGTACCACAGTCGCAAAACTTGATTTAGAACCGAAATAATTGTCGAGAAAACGTCGACAGTCTTGAGTAGTCGAATGAGTAGTCTCATTTAATTCGAGACGTAATTCAAAGAGTAAACAACGTGTTACACATAGATAGAAAATTATGTTAATTGAATGTGTACTGACTTTAAATAAATTTAAAACAAAACCTATATATATACAAATAAAATATGCAAAAAATACATAAAAATAAATAATGAATTATAATAATTTTATATTTACATATGAAATTTTGTAGATAAAATATATATGTACAAATTGAACCAATATTTAAATATAAATATAATATAATATTTTGTAAATTAAAAAAAAAAGAACGAAAGAAAAAGAGAGAGAGAGAGAGAGAGAGAGAGAGAGAATGTAAGATTTAGGAAACAAGTTAGAATATAGGAAACAAAGTTGGAGAGTAGAATTTCACGTCGGCCTACTCGTTCCATTCGCATAAACGCAATAATTCGAAAAGGGGTTGAGCGAGAGATGAGGGGTGGCAAGCACCGTGGCAAGGAGAGCGTGGCATGCGCGTAAATGTAGTTATAAATAAATCTAGAAGCTCTTAATGTTTGCCAGTCTCGCGGAAGTAGAAAGATAAAGGGTGGGAGAAGGACGGGAGGAGAGGAGGATGAGGTAAAGCTTGTGAGAAGGTGAAGGAGAAAAGGAGGAAGCCAAAGAGACGGGGCAAAGAAAAGCTGCGGAAGGGTTGAAGAGGCTGCGGAGAAACCGTGGCCGAAGGGCTTCTCGAGGGGGTTCTCGAGGGGGTTCTGAAGGGTCGAACGCGTGCCGAGGTAGTCGTCTCTTTGCTACAAACCACTCCCTTTTCCTCACCTACTCCCCTTCTCTTCCTGCACTCCAACAACGTTTCTAACTTCTCGAATCTTTGGTCCGATTGTTTCTTATTTCAAAAAAGTAAAACGTAAAATTCAAAAACAAATAATAAGTATAATATTTTTCATTCGTCCGTTAGTAATTCGACTTAATTAATTGCAAGATCGTTTCAAATATCAACCTGTTATATGTCTCATACTGCAAAAAAAAAATCATCTTTTATAAATTTTATTATATTATAAAGAATAGTTCTTTCCTTTTTTTTTTTTTTTTTTTTACATAACGCGCATATTTGCGAGCTAAAAAATGATATTAAATAGCCAAGTGTTCTAATTTTGAATCTACATTAAATTAATAAGATTTCTATGGTACGTCCTATTTGAGAAGAAAGAGAGAGAAAAATACTTGATAAGCAAACAAACAAAAAATAAAAGATAAGCGAAAATATCTTCTTTTTTTTCTTTTTTTTTTTTCTATTTTATTCAAAGATCTCGCGATGCATTTTTCTCTACGAAGTAAACGCGTGTGTACACATAGTATAAGTAAAATGCGTTTCGTTGAGCGAGCGCATTCGCGAAGAAGGCAACGAGAGCAACGTACTATTCTTTGATCATAGGGGCTATCCTCTTAATTTGTTTCTCCGGCAACGATCTGCTTTGGATAAGAAGCTAACTTCCCTCTCTTTTACTTTATCTTTCTCTCTCTTTCTCTTTCTGTGTTACGGTGGATTCGCACGCCAAGCAAAGAACTCACGGCGTTCAGCTTCGCACGCTCTTGGAAACCGTATTACGATAATTCGCTAACCTTCCACCTTCTTCTACTTCCCCCTCCTACTCTTTTTTTCCATCACCCCCTTCTTCTCTTCAACTTGATTCTTATATTCAAAGTAAGATAAATTAATTATTCGAGAACGAGTTTTCGAATCACTTCGGTCTCTCTTTCTCGTCTTACTTTTAAAAAGGAAGTATCTTCTTCTTTCTCCCTTGCAACTGATTTTTCATGACTCTGCACTTTCTTTGTTTTTTTCTTCTTTTTTTTTATTCTCCCTCGTATTCAACGAGAGAAAACTCTATTAATCTATCTCAATTGTTTGTTGTTGATTATTGGTAATTAGAATGAATCGGGAAAACGATTGATTTTAAAGTTTACTGTATGAAATAAAATAAAAAAAAGAAAATACAATGGAAAGGAAGGAAGGAAAATAAAAAATGAGTTCTCAATTTCCGGCTAATTTCTAAGCTATTTGTCGCGAATAAGTTTTCGCTCGAAAAGAGTCCTATCTCTTCTCTTAGACGTTAGGAATATCTAAGGAAGAACAAGCGGGAAAGGGCAACCCCGTGTGAAATGAGTCGCGAAATTGTTCCGAAGGAATTTATCAATTTTCTTTGAGGGATTCTAATTGTACTAATTTGTCGATCCCAAGAGTAAAGGGAAAGGCAGTGGAATTCTATCGTTTAATCTTCAAGACCGTCTATCTTCTCTGTATCTATCTAACTCTCTCTCTCTCTCTCTCTCTCTCTCTCTCTCTCTCTCTCTCTCTCTCTATTATACTTTCCTTATGTTAAACCCTCGAAGTATCGAAAAAGGGAGAAATTACGATTTTATATTCGATCTTCTCTCATCTAATTAATCCTATTTTTGTTTCCTTTTTTTTTCTACGTCTATCATTTCAATAACATTCGCTAATCGTAAGTACAAATCCTAAATTTCAAATGAAGATGAAAATAAAATCAAAGGTAATATCAAGAATCAATCGTATAGAAAATAGTAGAAAAATTTGAGATATAAATTAGAAGAAAAAAATAACAATAGAAGATGAGTGAAAATAAGGTAAAGAAAAAGGAAGAAAAATAAAATGATAGGAAAAAAGGGAGATAGTAGACTCGAAAAAGAAAGAATCGAGTGAGTGAGTGAGTGAGAGAGAAAGAAAGCTCAGGGCCGATATCAAAGCAGAGCAAACAATACGGCGAGATGCTGATGCGATTGTATTATGGCTAGTGGACCGATGATCCATTGTCTCGTCACGTTCTACCCACTCGGTTCTTTTATCTCGATCCCCAGAATATACTCGTATCTCGTCGTATCGAGTGAGCATCCATCGAAAGTAGCACGCTTCTGACGCCTTCCGAGGGGTTCTTCGTAATACGAAATCTGCTAGTAACAGGACGCGAATAAACCATTTTCGCACGCACCTATGTATCTATTATTATACTTTTATAGATGATGCACCTATGAAAAAGACTAAGAGAATGATATTCGATCCGTTTCCTTCTCATCTCTCCTATAGCATCAATTCATCTCTCATCGATCATTCATTCATTTATCTATGGATGATCAATGATACTCGAGATCGATGATACGATAAGAGAAAGAGAGAAAGAGTATGAGATTACGATTAGTTTGGTTTTTTGTTTTTTTAACACATTGCGTAAAAATCACGAACAGTCTCGTATATACGATGACTCTATGAATGGAAAATGTTTTTGTTTAATTATATTCAATTTGGATATAGAATAATCTACGAATGTATATTGTAATATTTAGAAATTTATCAATTTGAATAAAAATAAAGTAATATTAAAAATTTGCAGACTGCAAAAGCACGTCTGGCGTGCAATGTGTTAATAAATCTGAAAAAACAGTGTTTAAAATATACAAAGTTATGTAGCAGATGATGAATAATTATCGGATAAAATTGTTTCGAATGAATAATATATGATGAAACGTACCCTTGTAAGTATTCTTGTGTTAACATTCAGGAGGAACAATAACTACCTTAAAGGAACGTACCTGCAACAACAAAAATATGAATAATTATTTAAGTATACGTATTAAGTATATATATAATATATAGGTATAATGTTTGAAATGATTCGTTCAAATACGTGGTTAGATTGTTGGATATATCTACAGATATATATATATATATATATATATATATATATATTGTGTCAACGATTTAACTATGAGGATATTATTATAATCATGGGGTATACATACATAGCCCGTGTCGGATAGCATGATTACGAGGCTGAAATAAATGAAACCGGCGTGAAAACGAAATTGGATATACACGATGGCGGCGGCGGTCGCGGTGGTGGTCTCTCGAACGTAGTCACCGACGAAATTTATTTGCTTTTCATTCAAATCGCCTCATCTCACATTTATGTATTCCGTGATATTGCACTTTTTTAAACTCGCCTCCTTTCATCGTACTACGCCCGTTGGATATTAAGAGTCCTGACACAGCTCTGTATTACTCGTATAAATTTACTTCGAACAACGTTACATTCCTTCTTTCTTTCTTTCTTTCTGTCTTTCTCTTTCTTTCGAAGAAATTCTCCTTTCAAATATCTGTCGTCTAATTTGAACCGATTTGGTAATATAACACGAAACTCCTATTAGATTTAATCGATCATGTTTACGATAAAGAAATATACATATAATTCAAATATATTTCATTAGGTCAGAAAATTGTAGAAAAATTGCTTGAGTAAATAAATTCGTAAAAAAATTTCAATTGATTAATAAATGTTAATATTGTAGAACTCGTGAAACGTTTAAATACATATTTGAGGAAATCCGATAGGAAAGTCACGTACGCGTGAAGATAGATAAATCCTGCAAATTAAAACGGTATAATATAATCCTGAAAGATTGCTCATAAATTTAGCTTGCCATAAGGGTTTGTTAAGTCGATCAGATTGGTAGGTAAGAAATGAAGTTGTATTGTACTAATTAAGCGCTTAGTAATACGATATTATTTTTTGCATACTCGTAAAAACGTCCTTAATCCGTCATAACTCCTACTTAATTTAAAGGATTGTTTGTATTTCTTAATTGTTTTTTATTTCAATTAAAATTTAATCTTAACATTAAACAATTCATACATAATTGCTACAAGATGAACAATTAAAAAGGATTTTATAAAGAGTACAGACAGGTAAGTTGAAATAAAAAAAGGAGGCGAGTGTTATCCTCGTATAATTGACTGGAAGTATTTTTAATCGAGCCATGAAAAAATGTACCGCGTGCCAACGTACGATGGGAGAGAGCAACGACGAAATAGAAAGAAAGAAAAAAAAAGTATGTATATATAAACAAGGGAGGAGAAGAGAAAGAAACGGAGAAAGAAACAACTGAGTGAAAAAGAGAGAGAGAGAGAGAGAGAGAGAGAGAGAGAGAGAGAAAAAGGGGAAAGAGGAAGTCTTCAACCTTCCATTTTCATTGTAGGCGTTGCTCGCGTTTTTAATCGACTCACCCCCCATAGGAAACGAAATTCCTACGGTTAATTACACAGATTTCCAATGCACCATCGCAACCCTGTGGAATTTTTACGATTGCCGCCTTGACCGCTCTTTCTATCTCCGTTACTTCCTCTTTCTACTAGCACCACCACTACTACTACTCATCGGTATCGAATAAAAGGAGGGAAGAGGATTTGTACAACTGAAATATTCGAGGGATTTCATTTTATAAACGACCAACCTGTCCCTGCCACGTGCTACATCAACCCCTCCCTTTTAACGCCGAGTCGATCGTATCCGCTTTTGTCTCTTCTTCGATTCTCGCTACCGCGACGAAAACAAAATCATTTGCCATACCAAAATAAAGAGAGGGAGAGAGAGAGAGAGAGAGAGAGAGAGAGAGATAAAGGGATTATATGAAATACCATTCGGCATGAATCCTGCCACCATTATTGATCGCGTCAATTAAACAAAGGCGTCGAACGAGATTCGATCGAACGTTTCTATATATTCGTTAGAAAATATACTTTATATTATATATGAAAATAATGAATAACAAAGATAAACGAATATTTTGCAATTTTTTATATTATATTTCAATTGAAAAACACTTTGAACTAATATCTAAACAATCGTAATGACAAAAAAGTGGCTAAACGGAATGTATAAAAGTGTTCTACAGACAAATTCTGGACACGAATACGGTCGGAAAAAAAACTGAAAGTGGCGATAAATCGGTGCCCCGAAGAAAAAAGCTCGGATGGTAGAAGAAAATCTCGCTTCCATAAATAATTCAAGTCCCGTCTCTTCTCGGACGAAATACGGGCACACCGACTACTACTACCACCCATCTATCCACCACCCCCTACCCATCCTCTTTACTCTCTATCTTTCTTTAGGTAAGGTTGCCCGGTCAAAGGGGAAGAACCTAAGAACCTAATCTTTTCGCGAAAGGGTTTTCCGGGAGCACCTGAGAACCACCATGGAAAAGTCTTCCGACACCCCCTAAATACTTAATTCCATTCTCTCCTCTAATTGGACAGTTTTATTAAGGGATGCATATTTCAGATGGCATTTTTATTGTGTCCATTGGGAACGACACGGTGAACGAATAATAAGAAGAGAAGAAGTAGAAGAAGAGATAGTAGAGAGAAAGAGTTTAGAGATGGGGCTTCTGTAGAGAGAAAAAAAATTAGATTTCAACCCTTCGAAAAATATTAGCACGGTGGAAATAAGAGAGAGAAAAATATATAGACAGTGACTATGAGTTAAACGAGAAGAGACGACGAGAAAATACCGCAAAGTGGAAAGAAAGAGAGAGAGAGAATTCGATGAGAACGTACAACCCTTTGCCCTGGGCCATAAGCCATGGGCTACACCATGGTATTGTCTCGAGGATTAAAGTACAAAAGTGTAATTTCTCTGGGACCAAAAATGCTTTCGTACCACCTTATCAACTACGATCTTCCCTGTATATTCTTTTTTCTTTTTCCTTTTTTCTTTTTTACACTCTCTCTCTCTCTCTCTCTCTCTCTCTCTCTTTTTTTTTCTCAGCGAGGCCAACAGTCTCGTATCAAGGAACTTAAGTGGTATCTTGATCGTTGTACGCAAGGTGTACTTACAAATCGCAAAAGGCGTTACGAATGGAAAGAAGATATGCACACACACAATACATACATATATTTAAAAGAAAATTCCTTTTAATATATAATAATAATAAATTTCTAAGACGGAAAAATATAAATGAATAAGAAAATTGTAAGGATGAAAATAATTTGAAACAAGTAGAAGAAAATACGTTTGAAAATTGATTAAATTAAAAGATGAAGGAATGATAGGGAAGAAGAAAAAAAACAAAAACAAGGAAAAAGAGAGAGAGAGAAAGAGAAAATCAGGTAGACGGTGAGCTCGTATAAAATTTTAATAAGTCTCATTCGGCGACCCTTTGAGGCCACCGAAATGAACGAATTAAAAGTTTCTCTCGCTTTAGTGGTCTCGCGGTTGACATTTCAGCTCGCCCGATGATCTCACGGAATTGCAGAACTTTTGTCGTTTCGAAAAACTGCGCGGGAAATTCAGCGACAAATTCCATGGTATCTCCTTGAATAACTCATGGCTCCGACTGCTGGCGAATCTACCACAAACGACAAAGCTATTTTTTCAGTTTTATTTTTTTATTTTCATTTCATTTTAGTAAATCGCTAAACCAAAATTAAGTCACCGCAATTACGATCCTATTGCAATTAACTTGAAACTATATGTGTCTTAAATCTTCACAAATAATATTACGATTATTATTATCAATAGTTAATGAACAATTACCTGGAACGATAAAATTAAAGTGATTAATAAATAAATAAAAAAAAATGATATTTATCCGAGTGATAGTAAAGAAACAAACGTCTAAGGAAGAAATAGAAAGATGATTCCGAGCCCTTCGCCAACAGATCTCGGTTTCTAGGGAGTGCATGATCGGAGATGTTGCCCTTTTGCGAATACGAGGAAGCACCCAGTAAGATTTCAATTAAAACAACCCCCCCGGAACGATGAGGGGGGATTAGCAGTACGAATCCGTTTCATACCCCTCGCTTGGATCTCGGTTATGACACGGCATAAATATCAATGTAAATTGCTTTCGCACGAGTTACTGTTAACTCCTCTCTTCTTCCTCATCCCCCGCATCACCTCACCGTTCCTCTCTCTCACTCTCTCTCTCTCTCTCTCACTCTCTCTCTCTCTCTCTCTCTCTCTCTCTCTCTCTCTTTCGCTATCCAAAGATGGAAGAAAAGCCACCAAGACGACACGACGAGGACTCATTTATGAACGCAATCATCTTACGGATTTTGCATTTATGAGCTTTAAATTGCTACCGTCTCTCGCAACTTTCCACCAAGATTTCCATGTAATTGTGTCGAAAAGGAAATCACCTGTTATATTCTTTCCTACAATCTAATATTATTTTTATCTTAAACGGAAAATCGCGTATCGTGTATCCCCGATGACAGTGGTTATCTACAATAATAAGTCATACAAAATCCTGAGATTTTTCGATGATATATTTAATAAAAGATCCTCCGATTTAAACGACTAATCGTTCATCGTTTATTTGAATAAAAAAAGATCAAACTAAAGTAAGCAAATTTACAAATGATTAATCGATAAGATATACGAAAGGATAGCTGTATTAGAAATAATAATAATAATAAATAACACAATGTAATGGTGAAAATCTTGGTAGGTACGAAGGTAAGTATCAGGAGGAAAATCATACTCTACGAAATCATAATTAACAGAATTATGTCGAGGGTAACTCGATACGTTTTCGAGAAACAAGAAGAGAGAAATACAGACAGAGAGAGGGAGAGAGAGAGAGAGAGAGAGAGAGAGAGAGAGAGAGAGAGAGAGAGAGAGAGAGANAGAGAGAGAGAGAGAGAGAGAGAGAGAGAGAGAGAGAGAGAGAGAGAGAGAGAGAGAGAGAGAAAGAAAGAAAGAGAGAGAAAGAGAAGTAGAGAAGGAGAAGAAAACAGACATGGTCGGAACTTT